AAACACAAAATATAGCTTATCTGAAGCTTCTTAATCGTTAAATAGTTGGATTCTACGCATAGAGTTGATATCTATGATTTTTTACGGTTGCTATGGAAACCAGGAGAAATAACTTTTATAGCCCGTTTTGAAAATCGCCAAAGAACCGATTTCATAATGTCGATAAAATTACCTTTCCAGGGGTATCGGAAAAAATATGGGCTTAAAAAGCTAGCCTATATATATTATAACTTTGATGACATAATATATGAGCTGCTCCCACAAAACCAGGCTCTTGGTCATTTTTATGAAAAATGAGTGGATAGTGCATTTGCATAGCCTACAACCTGAGCTTTCCAAAAATGTAACTCTTTTTAAATTCAGACCAGAAGAAATTTCACTCAATAGTCCTTAGCAACCTTCAATTTAGATATCTAAACCCATGATTTTCTGATAGTATAAACCAAAGACAACACTCAAGGCATGGTTCCAACCCGATTGGGACATTTTTACTTTTTCTAAATGGATAAAATCAAATCCCAGACTTTTTGTCACATTTTAGAAAAAAGGGCAAACAGGGGAAAAACAGTCTATTCCAAACATGCTTCTTTTATTTGGGATTTAAAGCCAATAGAATAGCAGCAAGGAGTTTTCCTTATGCTTAGTATAATACATTTCTGATTACAAAAAATTAATGTGCCCATAAAAATCTAACCATGTTGGTTGCTATGGTAACGGCGGCCAAAATGTTTTTGCTCGTAAGCTATCTCATGTACACTGAATGTAACAAATCACCAATAGCCAATTCCCAAAATCATGTGGTTTTGTGCTGCGCGGCTGTATTTCGGGTCAAAGCTCGCTTACCGACAAAATGACGCCATGTAATGATGCGACGTCATGACGTCAGTCACAGATTAACTCTTAATGGACCCAGATGTTTGACGTCATAACCTTATAACAAATCACCAATAGCCCATTACCAAAATCATGTGGCCTTTGGCTTCGGGGCTGTATTTAGGGCAAAGTTCTGCGACCGACGTCATGACGTGACGTGACAATGTCAATCACAGATAAACACTTAATAGAACCAGATGTTTGAAGTCATAACCTCATAACAAATCACTAATAGTCCATTCCCAAAATGGGCTTTGGGGCTGTATTTAAAGTAGCTAAGTCTCTAACTCAATATCATCCAAAATCTTCGACATTGAAAACAGGAATTATTTGTCAATTTAAATCAACATTGATGTTGTGATCTTACCGGGAAAAGATGGGCTTCTGATATCCAATATTTAAGACAAAATAAAAATTTTACCATTGGTACACGAATCGTGTACCATAATGCGTTTCAGGCCCATTCTAACAAGGGACTCGAAGAACGAGGCTAGACATTCAACAAGTCATGTCAAACAGTGAAGGCATATTCATATCGGGAGAGTATGCACAATAAATACTATGTAGACTAGAATAACCAGACGCTAGAAATTTTCATTCGATTGAGACTTCAGACATATTTCGCCGAACGTAACTGATTTGAAATTAGAGTAAAAATGGAAACAACTGAATTTAAATCAGTTTATATATATTCCTATTACATTATTATATGCGTTACGACCCATTTGTGTCAATTTCTAGGTCCAAAATATTAGCGATTTAGCTTCTTTAAGGGCAAAGCTCTGTGACAGACGTCATTATGCAATTATAGATCAACTGTTAGGAGACTCAGATGCTTGACGTCATATCCTTATAAAAAAAACATGTCATAATGATCAATAGTGTTAAAATAATTATAGATAACCATTTTAAAGTCAACTCATTAAAAAATAACAACCCTTCATATAAATGGATGTAATGATCTAGATTTTATTCCATTTTCACAAATATGAATTTTTTATCAACCAGTGATTGCTGTGCAAGACACACCGACATTTTGCCAGAGATAAACAAAAAACAAGCTAAAACAAGCCAACAGTGAGGCTGATGTCCCCCGCCAAAATACCAAAATAAATAGATGACACATTAATTTATCGCACATTTATTTTTTTTAAAGTATCAAGCAATCAAACTGATTATCAACTATACACTTAAGTTTCATCACTCTCTATCAAAGTTATCTTGTCCTAAAGCATCAACCAACAAGGCATTGACCTAATCAACACATACACCAAGTTTGAACATTCTAGCTCAATTAGGAAGAGAGTTATCGTGCCCCAAAGTATCAACCAATCAAATTGCTTATCTCTGCTTACCCTAAGCGGAAAATGCTCATCTAATCAAATTGCTTATCTCTGCTTACCCTAAGCGGAAAATGCTCATCTTCGAACTCCATCAAGGCATTGACCTAATCAACACATACACCAAGTTTGAACATTCTAGCTCAATTAGGAAGAGAGTTATCGTGCCCCAAAGTATCAACCAATCAAATTGCTTATCTCTGCTTACCCTAAGCGGAAAATGCTCATCTTCGAACTCCATCAAGGCATTGACCTAATAAACACATACACCAAGTTTGAACATTCTAGCTCAATTAAAAGTTATCGTGTCCCAAAGCATCAACCAATCAAATTGCTTATCTCTGCTTACCCTAAGCGGAAAATGCTCATCTTCGAACTCCATCAAGGCATTGACCTAATCAACACATACACCAAGTTTGAACATTCTAGCCCAATTAGGAAGAGAGTTATCGTGTCCCAAAGCATCAACCAATCAAATTGCTTATCTCTGCTTACCCTAAGCGGAAAATGCTCATCTTCGAACTCCATCAAGGCATTGACCTAATAAACACATACACCAAGTTTGAACATTCTAGCTCAATTAGGAAGAGAGTTATTGTGTCCCAAAAAGTGTGACGGACAGACAGACGGACAGACAGACGGACAGACAGACAGACGGACGAACCCATTTTAATAGTCCCCTGCTTTCTTCGAAAGGCGGGGGACAAAAAGTGAATTTTCATACAATTACAATCGGGGGCCATTAGCAAGTATGTTATGGTCTGACATGCACAACAAACCAATATCTTTGGGATATAAACATATATTTTAAGTTTCATCAAAATCGGATAAAAATTGTGACCTCTAGAGGGTCCACAACATTGGTATTACATACTCTTACACACTTTGCGTACAAGGAGCAGCCATTTCGTCCGACAGTTTTGGACTAATATTCACGAAATTCGAACTCAACCAGCCTTAGGGTGTAATGGTCACATGGTGATATATTTGAATGTTTCATTTAAATTGTAATACGGTCCACAAGTTATGGTCCAATATGCACGAATATCAACAGGAACCGAGACCTCTGGGTTTTAAACATAAATTTCAAATTTCATCAAAATCAGATAAAGTTAATGACCTCTACAGTGTCCACAATCTAAACACGATTTTCGTACAATTAGGGGCCATAATCCATGAAGATATGGTCCAATACATGCCAATATTGAAACGATCCAAGATCTTGGGGAGATAAACCTATGTTTCTGAATGGACAGAATTCAATATAAGAGTAGGCTGTAGCACCGCTGTCCGGCAAAATTTCCTTCATATTCCACTGTATGGTGTATATGCCAGGGCTGGGGTAATGGCCATATAATGGTCAATTATATTTCAGTTACATTTTATGGCGCATAAATATTATCAATATGATAAGTCTCAAATTTTATAGCACCAAAGAAGTGAATAAAGTATATCTGACACAAATCTAATTCATTATAATTTTAAGAAAAAGATTTAAATCAGTTTTAGCAAATTATACAAGAAGGCATTAAACATTTTCTTTTATGACTTTTTATGTAGGATCCTTTTTTTAGACATGTTATGTAACAAGCCAACAATGAGGCTGATGTCCCCCGCCAAAATCCCAAAATAAATAGATGACACATATTAATTAATCACACATTTATTTTTTTCAAAAGTATCAAGCAATCAAACCGATTATCTACTATACACCAAGTTTCATCACTCTCTATCAGATAGAATCAAAGTTAACTAGCCCCAAAGCATCGACCAATAAAATTGGTTAGCTCTGTTTAGCTTTAGCTCGAAATGTTAATCTTTGACAAGACATTCACCTAATGAACATCAACATCAAGTTTAAACATTCTACCTCAATGAAAAGCAGAGTTGTTATGTTCCAAAGTCTTGACTAATCAAATTGCTTATCGATCCTTAGCCCAAGCAGAAAATTCTCATCATCAAACTTAGTCAAGGTAATGATATAATGAATCTATACTCAGAGTTTCATCGCTCTCACTTAATTAAAACCAAAGTTATTGGCCCTAAAGCATCAACCAATCAGATTGCTTATCTCTGCTTACTGTAAGCAGACAATGTTTATCATCGAACTCCATCAAGCCATTCACCTAATGAACGCCTACACAAAGTTTGAACATTCTACCTCAACTAGAACGAGAGTTATTGTGTTCCAAAGTCTCGACCAATCAAATAGCTTTTCGCTCTGCTTACGCTAAGCAGAAAATTCTCATCTCCAAACTCCGATCTCCATCAAGGCAATCAACTAATAAAGACCTACTCAAGTGTGAACATTCTCGGTCAATTAGAATGAGAGTTATTGTGTTCCAAAATCTCGACCAATCAAATTTCTTATCGCTCTGCTTACCCTGAGCAGAAAATACTCATTATCGAACTTATTCAGGGTATTGATGTAATAAAACTATATACCAAATTTCATTAATCTCACTTAATTAGAACTAAAGTTATTGTGTCCTAAAGAATCAACCAATCAAATTGCTCATCTCTGCTTACCCTAAGCAGAAAATGGTCATCTTCGAACTCCCGTCAAGGCATTGACCTAATAAACACCTACACCAAGTTTGAACATTCTAGCTCAATTAGAAAGATAGTTATTTTGTCCCAAAAAGTGTGATGGACAGACAGACAGACGGACGGACAGACGGACAAACCCATTTTAATAGTCCCCTGCTTTCTTCAAAATGAAATGAAATGAAATGGGGTTTAACGTCCTACTGTTCTGCTCCTAACCTGGGCTAATGAAGACGGGCATACGCCATACAGTGTGCTATGAGGGAAATTTTGCCCGGACAGCGGCACTACGGCCTACTTTTATATCGAATTCCAACTGCCAAGGGATCTGCATCACTGACAAGGGGGAACCACGCCGGAAAATCTGGATGAACTTTCTCGGCCAATACAGGGATCGAACACCCGACCTCCAGGCTAGCGAGCCAGCGCCTTACCCACTTAGCCAACGTGATCCCCTGCTTTCTTCAAAAGGCGGGGGACAAAGAGTGGATTCCTGAAAATAATTATGTATATAGGGCATTTTAATGCATCACTTCATTGTTCTTACTTAAAGGTAATAGTATAACGAATTTAACAGGATGAATTTATGGCCAAACAATTATGAAAGTGCGTAAATATTACAGATGAAAACAGAGACATGCGAGCGGGTCATGAGAAACATACAATGGTTTAGTAACTATTTGGGTTAGGGCACACAAAGTCTCTCTCTTCTGCTTTGCAAAAAGGTCTTATCTCCTTAAAAAGATAAGCCTTCCTGGCATCACTGAAACCAGCAGGGACAATCTCAACTGGTCTAGCCTCAGGGTCAATGTCAACAGGGTTAATGTCGCGCTTCAAGATTTTAATGCTCTGTTCCTCGCTATCTGTGAAACCTTTGTAGAAAAGAACACCCGGCTGTTGATTGGTAAACCAGAAGTGATGCTGTTCCAGGATACCCACAAATTTCTTAAAGTATCCCCCAAGAAGTGTATCCCATGCATACATAGGGACAATCACTGTCCCATCTTGATCTCCGACAAGCTGGCTTCTGTTAATTTTGCTTTCACTAGTCGAACCTTCCACAGTTTGCTCAATCTCCCTCAGTGAGGACACAAATATTTTTCTAAATTTTTGTTTAAAAAGTCCAAAGCACCAATCTGGACTGAACTTGGTGTGCCCTGCCATAAGGAAGTGCAAATAGGTTGAATGGTGAAGACCAATGATTGTGCGCCAGCATAGGTAGTGCAACATTATATTATTTTGACCTGCACAATTATCTGCATTTATTCGTAGGTCAGTCTCTCCAATACCATAAAATGACAAGAAATGGTGCAGGAGGCTGATCACAACATTGGCCCATTTGCCGCTGGCCACAGCTTCATCCAGAAGGTAATTAATTTGTTGGGGAAATGCCTCTGCATGGATGCCAAATATTCCACACTTCCGTGGAGTTTTAAAATAAATAGGACCGGGTTGAAACGGATTTGAGGGATAATGAATTTGTTGGGCAAAATCAAAGCTATAGTGGAAAGCTGCTTCTCTAGAGCATGGCTCATTCTTTGATAGGGTGTTGATTTGTAGTTGCTCGCGTACAGCTTTTGCCTCAGAACACCATGCACGATAGAAGGATCTCTCGTCTGTTGCTCGAGACAGATGCAGCTCTTGCTTACACAGAGTCTCCTTCTTAGCATCTTCATCAACATTAACCTGAAAAATACATAATGAAAAACATTCGTTGGCCATCATTTCTACTTATTAATGTAGTTTCCTCTTTTAATGCTTTGTAAAATGTATTCTTTCCATTTCTTAATAATAAACAAGGCCTTAGAAAGCAAGGCCAGACCGGGCATGGTCTGCAGCCAGGCTCTTTGACAACTTGAGACTGCACAGGGATTTACTATGAGCCATTACGCGTTGAGGTTATTTGGCATGACAAAAATAGAGTTACTTCCCCTTATGGTTTGTACATTGCCTGATTAAATAATTAATCAATTGGTGGAAAAAAAAGAGTTTAATTTCCAAAATTGTCCAGGTTAAAGCTCTGATCAGGGTACTTACATTTCTAAGAATCAGGAAGTTGTTGTCCTGACACACTGAACAGAGATCACTTGCTGGTCTGGCAATTACAACATAGGAGAGTACCTGATTCCAAAGCTTTCGGAAAGTTGATTGGGCAATAATTCTCTGTCCTTCTGCACATGAATCCCGGTATCTGCGCCACACCTCTGCCTTGGTGAAGTTGCTGGGTATCACCTTCACGTCATTTCTGCTGATTCCTGGTATGCGTCCTGGTAAGGAGATGGCATGTTCCTCTACAAAATTCAGTACGAAACGAACCATCAGCCGTATATCATCTAAATGAAGAGACTTCTTGTTGTTCTTTCTTCCACCTGAAATTGTCAAATTCATTATTACAACATGAGGAATGAAATGGAGAGAGAGAGAAATGGGGTTTAACGTCCACTCGACACAAACTAGGTCATTTCGGGACTAACATATGGTTCAATTTTATTCCCATAATTCGCTTGCGCGTAGGGGTCTTTAGCAGTGGGAGGAAACCGGAGGAATGAAATGGGTTTTAAAGTAGCTAAGCCTCCAACTAAATATCATCCAAAGTCTTTGACAATGAAAACACAAAATATTTGCCAATTTAAATCAACATTGATGTTGTGATCTTACCACGAAAAAGTGGGCTTCTGATATTCAATATTTAAGACAAAATAAACATTTTACCACTGGTACCGTAATCGTGTACCATAATGCATTTCAGCGCCATTTGTAACAAGGGAATGGAAGAACAATGCTAGGTATATTCCACGAGTTATGTCAAATGATGCCGTCATATTCTTATCTGGAGAGCATACACAATAAATACTATCGGTGTAGACTGGAATAGGTTGCCATTCTGCTCTGACCGTGCAAATGGAAACGGGCATACGCAGTACTATAGCCATGTTTTATATTTAATTCCATCTAGAGGGGGATATTTTATGTGCACTCTAATATGTATGCAGGACCTCTGTTTTTGCGGCTAAATTTACTAAAAAAAATTTAGTGGTTTGTGAAAATTTAGAGTGTATAACATTTTCATAATTTTTAATATTTGCTGCTTACAGTTACAGAAGCATGCTACAACAGATTATGGTAACCATACAACAAACACTCAAATGCACTTGTACTGGTACAAAAGAAATAGAGTCAACTCACCACTTAATTTTTTGAGGGGCACTAATCCATTCTTCTTATAGTGTTCTTTTAATTTAGTTAATTTGAACTTATAATGGGCTTGAACTTCCTATGGTTTTACTCTGACTGGCTTAATGAAGACTGGCATACGCTGTACAGTGTAATAATGAAGGAAATTGTGCCCTAACAGCGGCGCTACAATCTACTCTTATATTGAATTTCAACTGACAAAGGATCTTTTATGTGCACGTCAATGTACACAGGATCTAGGTTTTTCATTCCATACGAAATGAAATGAAATGGGGTTTAAAGTCCTACTGTTCTGCTCCTATACTGGGCTAGTGTTCGATCCCTGCAGTGGCCGAGAAAGTTCATCAGGATTTTCCAACGTGGTTTCCCATTGTCAGTGCAGCAGGACGAAAAACCGAGAGCCTGTGTATATATTGCCGTTCACGTAAAAGATCCCTTTGCAGTATGAATTCGATATAAAAGTAGGCCATACTGCTGCTGTCTCAACAAAATTTCGCTCATAGCACACTGTATGACGCATGCCTGTCTTCATTAGCCCAGTCGGAGCAGAACAGTAGGCCATTAAACCCCATTTCATTTCATAAGTGAACGAACGTCATGTCGAGCTGCATAACAAGGGCAGTTTGGGGGATATAGCCTATCGACCATGCCATAAATGAGAAAAATTGGGGTATGGCTCATCTATTCAATTCACCAATTTAATAGCCTGACAAAATTTGGGCATGACAACTTGCTTATTAGATTGAAATTTAAGGTAGAGCTGGGCGATATCCCTATAAAAAAGATACTTCGCAATATTTTATAAAATGTCAATAATTTCAGTTTATCCCCTTTTAAACTTAAATAAACATGCATAAAAAGTTAAAACTACCCCGATGTATTCCGTTGACACTTTCTAGTCAGTATTATTTAAAGCTTTTGGCATAAATACAGTATCGAGTTTACATTTACAAACAAAATTTAATGAGCTGGTTAAAACATAGATCCATACAAATTTTTGTGGAAATGGCGCTTTATAAACGCTTGTTAATAATAATAAATAATTGTTAATAATAATAATTATGAATAAATATAGACTATACCATAAAGACTTGATTGCTGCTTATAGAAATTTTAATTTCCATTGTGATATTTTATTTAAATTAATACTATATGAAGGAGATGCAAAAAGTAAAAAAAAAAGTTTGTGTATGCCTATTCGGCCGTACGGGAACGATCGGATATTACCGTTGCAAAATCCTGTTTACTGATTCAAGCGTACATAGGCCCTATGTTGAAAATACTTTTACATTAATCCAAGAATACTACATTAAACTATAAAAACGTAAGTGCTATGCCATAAAGTATCAATTTTTTTGTCAAGTAGCGATTTCTTTTTTGGTTCACAGACCACCATGAAAATGAATGACACTTCCGACGCCGAATTATCACTACACTAGTACTACTAGACTACCGGTAATCTCAAAGTTGCTTTTGTTTATTTTCCTGCTTTATTTAAATTTATTTCAAAAAGAAAATCAACGATTCCTTTGGAAAATCAAAGTATAATCGGTATCAAAAAATTGTCAAGATGCACAGGAACAGAGCAGAAGCAGGGATAATTCTTACGGTAATCAGTCGATCGAGTCAGGTGTAAAAGTGAGCGAGAAGTCACGTGACGTAAACAAGATCTTTCACGGAGTTGGCCAATTTCGAGGAATGAACAATCATTTAAGCAATTCAATATCGAATGTAGGCCTAACATAAAAATGATTTTTTTTTTTCAATATTTGTGTTAAATATCACAGGCCTAGTACGGTAGGCTAGTACTAGTAGAAACATGAAACTCGTACTACTAGCTAGGCCCTGTCTAGGGGAGTATTATTTATAGCAAAGACTATCGGTGGTATGTTCAATAAAATATCGTATAATACGCCTAAAATATTTTTTTTTTCAATATTTATGTTAAATATCACATAGATCTAGAGGCCGTACTACTAGTACTACTACCGGTACCGGTACTAGCACTCTAGAGTAGTATGTCTAGTGATAGACACTATACATAGATTTTGACGGTTTTTATTTCTGTGACTTTTTTATATCGAAAAACCTAAATATCACCCAGCTCTAAAATTTGGACAGGACTTCTAGTTCTACGGTTATATTTAGTTTTATTAGTTATGATGATTATGATGCAACTGAACTTACCTCCAAAGTAATCATTGATGAAATTCATCATTCCGGGGTCTTCTATACCGATTTGCTTGGCAGAATTGAGTAATCGTGCAACATGGGCAGCGGGTATAGTCTTAGATGTCATTTTTTAAAACTTTTCAGTTAATATGTTTACAAAATAACGAAATTTTCATTCATGAAACTTGAAAGAAAGATGTATCTGACAGATTGGCAGAAGTCAATAAATCTGTGTTTACATCCTTGTTGCGCATGCCCATGTAACACACCGAGCGCGAGCCAAAGCTTTAAGCCAATGAAATCGCGCATTACCATCGGGAGGTCGGTCTTTCGCGGCAACGAGAAGGCCTACGGTTTATCTTGTTGTTAAACTGACATCGATTCGTTCACGACCTTTCCAATGACGTATGGAGATTGGCATCAGGCACCGCGTGCGTTTTCAAAACATTGGATTACTTTCACTGATTATTTGCACCGAATAGACGTCATTTCTTGGGCCTTTTTAATCAGGTAGGCTCATAAAATTCTCTCAAAACACCATTTCTAGCTTTCAGATCGTCAAAAACCTTCTCAAATCACAAAGTTCTTTTGTATTTCTTCATGTTCTAACCGAAATCCCAAAACGGACAATTTGACCCAAATCCATTGTTATCGATGCTTTTGTGCCCGTAGCACAAAATGACGTTGTGCGACAAGCGCCTGGTTTCGTGGGAGCGACACACATATAGCCTTTATTATGTCATTAAAGTTATGACGTCATATTAACATTATGACATCACTAGTTACCATGACTAACCTGATACTTCAAATGTATCATTTGTGTAGTTGTATTCTCTGAAGAAGTAAGTTTTTACACTTACGAAACGTTAGATTCTATAAAGATGGTTTTGTGATACCCAAGACTTTGTTTTTAACCACTCCTACTACTGGTGTCACCGTATCAAGTTTATTATGACTTGGATCCCATCTAAGTTTATGTTATTCAAATGGTTTTGGATTCCTCTCTCTTTATATTTATTTGGATTCACATGAAAATGTGGGCGTATAAAAACGGGAAATTTTACCCGGCTGAAATGTTTAGTACCGTTATACTTTAGTCATTAAAACTTTCATCATTTTAACAAAGTCAGTTATACCTGACGTGAACGGTGAAGTGATGTCTGGTTGAAACATTTCCCTTTTTAACGAGGTCAGATTTTAGCCAATTTTGTTTTTATTAAATTCACGTTATTCAATTTAATTTTTTCAAAAACTGCAGAAATTCAGGTCGATCGTTGATCACAAACGATTAAGCTGGTCGGTGGGAGCTTATTTTTCAAGTTTTGTAAAAAATCGGTTGGTAATCACATGTACAGGTACTGTGCAAATTAAACTGTTAAATCAGAAAATTTTGCCTGGTTGAAATGTTTACCCTGATAATTAACTTAGTTGGTAATTCTATTCTCTTTAAGATTGTTGACAAAATCAATAACATCTGATATGAAGTGATGCCTGGTTGTCATTACTAAGGCAGTTTTTGACTGATTTAATTCGTAACAAATAACGGCAAATTTTGCCCGGTTCAAATGTTTCTCGTTATAATGCAGCAAGTTTTTTGCCGATTTTAATAATAAGTTTTCCTTTCTTTATATAACCCATGACAACTCTGGAAGTAATCTACAGAAATTGTTGAAATTTGACAGGCTTTTTCGTTTTACTAATTTAAATAATGCATATAAATTTCATACAGATCACAGGTTCACTTTTGTCATTCAAACGTTCACAATCGCCATAACTCTAGAAATTATTGACGGAAATTGCTGAAATTCAATAGACCTGTTTCATAAATTTAAATGATGCATATAAATTTCATACATATCGGATGATAACTTTTGGCGTTGGAGCGTTCACAAGGTTCAATAAAGTGAAACAAGGGCCATAACTCTAGACGTAATAAACGGAAATTGCTGAAATTCAATAGGGTTCTTTGCTTCACAAATTTAAATAATACATGTAAATTTCAGAAAGATTGGATGATAACTTTTGGAGTTAGAGTGTTCACAAGGTTCAATAAAGTGAAACAAGGGCCATAACTCTAGATGTAATAAACGGAAATTGCTGAAATATAATAGGATTCTTCGTCTCACTAGTTTAAATAATGCATATAATTTTCAGAAAGATCGAATGATAACTTTTGACGTGAGAGCGTTCGCAAGTACAATAAAGTGAAACAAGGGCCATAACTCTAGACGTAATAAACGGAAATTGCTGAAATTCAATAGGCTTTTTCGTTTTAGTAATCTAAATAATGCATATAAATTTCAGAAAGATTGGATGATAACCTTTGGCGTTAGAGCGTTCACAAGGTTCAATAAAGTAAAACAAGGGCCATAACTCTAAACGTAATAAACAGAAGTTGTTGAAATTCAATAGGCTTCTTCGTTTCACTAACTTAAATATTGCATATAAATTTCACAAAGATCGTATATTAACTTTTGGCATTAGAGCGTTCACAAGGTTCAACAAAGTGAAACAAGGGCCATAACTCTAGACGTAATAAACAGAAGTTGTTGAAATTCAATAGGCTTCTTCGTTTCACTAACTTAAATATTGCATATAAATTTCACAAAGATCGTATATTAACTTTTGGCATTAGAGCGTTCCCAAGGTTCAACAAAGTGAAACAAGGGCCATAACTCTAGACGCAATAAACGGAAATTATTGAAATTGAATAGGATTCTTCATCTCACTAATGTAAACAACATATATCAATTTTAAAACAATTGGATGATAACTTTTGGCGTTTTGAAAACTGCAGAAATTTGAAATCAGGTCAAATGTTGATCACAAACGATTATCTTGGACATTATTTCTTTATTTTGAAAGTTTTATCAAAATCGGTTGGTAACCAAAAATCTCTGCAACATATACAATTTTAAACAGAAAATTTTGCCCGGTTGAAATGTTTCTCATTATAAGTCGGCGCCTTAACTGTGGTTTGTGATATATTTGCCCGACTCTAGACTATCTTTTTTCACAGGATACAAATTTATAGTTTAGAAAGTACAAAGAGTTACTTATTCGTTTAAACTGAAAATAATTCTACTTACTATCACTGGTAAACTTGAATGGTTCTGATCCATAATTAGTATAAACCACTATTTTAACTGATGTAGATAATAACTGTGTATTCAAAATGGGACATAATATATAACCCAGATTGGTACTAGAATCAGTTGATTTATATTCACCTTTCAGTCTAAAAAATAAAAGAATGGCATACTTCAAATTGCGTGATACCCAATCCACAATTAACAAGCCAACAGTGAGGCTGATGTCTCGGGGGGATTTTATGGACTCCTCAAGACTACTTCACAGCCAAGAGGGCCGATCTCAAAATTTCACCGTTACTGAGAAACAGCCTCTGGGTGATTTCTGGCCAATTTTGCCATTTTTCAGGTCATTTTTGGTCAATTTTCAGCCACCTATAGTAGCGAGTCTAGGGTTTGGATGGAAATGGTGGTGATTGGTGATGTTAGTGGGGGTCTTCCTGTGCCCCTGTGTGAAGACCATGAAGTCGCATCTATTCTCTGGGAGTAATGATCAGAAAAATTGTAACATATGGCGACTAAAACCGAAAATATAAACCTGCGAAAATTAGCTCTATCTTCTATGATGCGGGGGTAGGTCAAAATATCAAAATGGTTTTATGCACAGCTCGACACACTCTATCGATATAAAAAATAAAATCTCTGTCACCCCTCTTCAATCAATGCGAAATAATCAGTCAAAGTTGGTGAATTTTCCCTATTGTAATCTCTCATTTTCTATGAAATGGCCAACTATTTTCATTCAGGGTAAGCCAGCTTTCTCCGTTTCTTCACCAAATCATTCGCCAGCACTCGCAGGTAGCAGCTTGAAACCCGCTTGAGCAAAACTAGTCTCTTTGATGATGATTGGTATCCAATCCATGATGGCCGTGTTTTTTCTTCATTTTTGGCCATAGAATGTGGTACATATCCCAGATATGAGCAATGAAATGACTTAATAGATTGAAAGAGTGTACTAAGGACATTAAGGCCCGTCCTTTAGCACATTACATAGCAATAAGTGAATTAAGAACCAAATGGGAGCTGATTTCTTGACGAAGTGGGATTTTTGATCCTGATAAGTCGATTCTAGATGGAAAGGTGATATGTGCTGCCCATCGCTACAACCTGGGTCTCAAATGGAATATTCCAAAAAGGATATAAACAATATGCTGTCCATAATGAGGAAATGGGCTGTCAAAAGAGCCAAGTTCCTACACCACCTCAGGTTAGTTCTTCAAATAAATGATATGACGTAGGGTCAAAAATAAAACTTCATCATGGGATCATTTTCAGAGCCCAAAATAAAACTTGCCATGCCCTTTAAAACTAAATTTGTATATGAAGGACATTTCTATCAGGGGCCACCTCTCAAAATGTTGTTGATATCAAACCCAACGTATATGGGCCATTGAAAATTTTCATGCATCAGGTCTCCGTATGATGGACTTGCTGGTAACAGGGACCCCTGCAAATACTTAGAAAATAATTTTAGTAAATTATTTTATGTGGTTTGGTTGTTTAAGGTTACTGTTGGAACTGATGACACCCCTCCCACTGTAAGTAGTAGTTATTAGCACACTTTCCGAGGTGTATCGGTGAATATCAGGACAGTTTTGGTCGAGGGGCCCAGCCGGGGCGGCTCCCGACCAAAACTGTCCTGATATTCACCGATACACCGAGGAAAGGTGCTAATAAGTTACTTACATCACATTTCTATCGAGTATTGTGAAGCAAAATGTGAAAAATAGTATTTATTATCGAGTCATTTCAACCGAAAAGTGACAAATACTTTCTGCTCTTTCATTATTTATCCCTTTCTGAGCCTCACGTTACATTTCATGGTAGAATGATTTCGCAGTGGAGAGACGACCTGAGTAGTTTTTACACGTGCATCTTGCTATGATACTCTGAGCGTAAAACAATCACGTTTTTGTTTAGACCACATCGTCAAAACAACTTGTCTATGGCGTAGAAATGAAATGAAATGAAATGGAGTTTAACGTCCTACTGTTCTGCTCCTAACCTGGGCTAATGAAGACGGGCATACGCCATACAGTGTGCTATGAGGGAAATTTTGCCCGGACAGCGGCACTACGGCCTACTTTTATATCGAATTCCAACTGCCAAGGGATCTTTTACGTGCACGCCAATGTGTACATGGGACCTCAGTTTTTCGTCCCATCCGAACGACTAGACAGCTTTCCTTGTCAGCCCCTCCGTCCTGCATCACTGACAAGGGAGAACCACGCCGGAAAATCTGGATGAACTTTCTCGGCCAATGCAGGGATCGAACACCCGACCTCCTGGCTAGCGAGCTAGCATCTTACCCACTTAGCCACGTGATCCCCCTATGGCATAGAGGACTGCGATATTATTAAATGTAGTGTAAAGGAAATGCGAAACGTGGGTCATTCCTGGTGAAAGTATGCATCGGCGGATGGTTCTTCCGTTGAAATTTATTTGTAATAAAGTTTATGACTTTCTAGGCGTTTTTTTCATCCTGCTTATTTTCAATGCCTGTGAAGTGTCCAGCAAGAGAACTGCGCCTTCTATCATCACAATTAATTAAAATAATTATTCAATATTCTAATTTATATATTTTGCATATAATATAAATCAAACCAAATTATGAAATAGATGCCAATTGATATGTATAATAATTGATTTTTGTAATATGTTGTTATGTTAATTTAATGTCATTGTATATATTTTTGAGCTGCCATGTAGTTTCCCCCCATTTTGTTTTGTTACTATGATTTTGACTAGTTGTTTCATGTACATTGTATAGAGCCATCGTTATCAATTGTGATCTGGGTCGGACTAAACGTCCGCTACTTATTGCTTGATAGGTATCTTAAACGGTATAAAATTATCCGTGTATCAGAAATGAATAGTACTCTTTCTGTACATTTAAGATACACGGATACTGATTGGTAAATCAAATGTCTGACGTCATAGGCTCACTTGCGGCTCTTATGACATCTGACATGACCTATCGCAACAACCAGTCAGATCTTCATGTAGTGTAGGTCATCGAAAGTATAAAAAAACGAAATGAAATATAGATCTGTATTTTAATCAGATTGGAATGTTTTCAGAGATGGCCCCTGATAGAAATGTCCTTCGTGTTCAAATTCAGTTTTAAAAGGCCCAGCAAGATCCATTTAGGGCCCAGACAATGGTGATATGATGAAGTTGAATTTTTGACCCTATGCCATATTTTTTATTTGAGGAACTACTCTGAGGCAGTGTAGGAACTTGGCTCTCTTGACAGCCCATTTCGTCATTATGGGCAGCATAATATTTCCGGCATATACATAGAATAGAAGAAAAAAATTCTAAAATTAACAACAATTTTTTAATGCTGCCAAAGGTTTCCATCGATATTTCAAAGACACAATTTCTTGCCTCTTTTTTTCAATAGTATTTTATTTCACTTAGCTATTCCAATAGGAATAAGTTGATTCCAAGTGACACAACACGGTCTTTGTATGGCTTCTCCTTAGATGTGGCCTTATGCATCCTTTTGGAATATTCCATTTAATGCAGCTTCGTCAAGAAATCAGCCCCGATTCGGTTCTCACATTACTTATTGCTATGTGATGTGCTAAAAGGTACATTTTTTCAATCATATGAAGTGATTCTCTTGGTCATATCTAGGATATGTATCACATTTAATGGCCAAACATGAGGAAAAAACGCAATTTTGTGCGCTTTCGGGCACGGCCATCTTGGATTGGATACCAAGCCTCATGAAAGAGACTAGTTTTGCTCGAGGGGGTTTCAAGCTGCTACCAGTGAGCGCAGGTGAATAATTTGGTGAAGAAACGGAGAGAGCTGGCTTACCCTGAATGAAAGTAGTTGGCCATTTCATAGAGAATGAGAGATTTACAATAGGGAAAATTCACCAACTTTGACTTATGATTTCGCATTGATTGAAGAGAGGTGACAGAGATTTTATTTCTTATATCGATAGAAGGAGTCGAGCTGTGCATAAAACCAGGTGTATATTTTCTGTTTTATTCACCATATCTTACAATAGATGCGACTTCATGGTCTTCACACAGGGGCACAGGAAGGCCCCCACTAACATCACCAATCACCACCATTTTTATCCAAACTCTAGACTCGCCATTGACCATAAATGACCTGAAAAATGGCAAAATTGGCCAAAAATCACCCGGAGTCTGTTTCTCAATAACGGTGAAATTTTGAAATCGGCCCTTCTGGCTGTGAAGTAGTCAGGGAGAGTCCATAAAATCCCCCGGAGATGAACTCGATCTGCCGACCCCCCATCTTCCCGATTCTGCACGATTTTGCATGGTTTTCTCATGGAATGACTCTTAATTAATCGCACATTTATTTTTTTCAAAAGTATCGAGCAATCAAACTATACACTAAGTTTCATCACTCTCTATCAGATAGAATCAAGATTATATTGTCCCAAAGCATCGACCAATGAAATTGATTAGCTCTGCTTAGCTTCAGCTCGAAATGTTAATTATTGAACTAAGTCGAGACATTCACCTAATGTACATCTACATCAAGTTTATTTTTTTCAAAAGTATCGAGCAATCGAACTATACACTAAGTTTCATCACTCTCTATCAGATAGAATCAAGATTATATTGTCCCAAAGCATCTGCTTACACCGAGAACTGCTAAAGGGTGAATCTGTGCACAGCCATCATAGAATTCTCAGTCATGGTTTTTATTTGTACGTGTATCGAAAGAAAATTAATTTTCCGACTATTATTCGGTATTACCGCGTTAAAACTGCAAATAAGGTGTGTTAATTAACAAGGTTAAAAAAACTGTCTGAGAGGTGAGTTAATTAACGCTAGGGGAGAAAAACTGTGCGACAGTGCGTTTTCAGTAGAGGTGTGTTAATTACCGACCGGTAAAAAATGAATGTCAATGTTGCGTATTGTTTAATTGGCGTGTTTTCTCGCTAGTTGCGATAACTGCACCAAAAGGAGTATAATCAAGGACCATCAGGCTTTATCTGACATGTACGTGTTAAATCAAAATTTGGGAAGTAAAACTGTTTTACCAAGCGATTTATCATTCGACTGTGTGTTTTACGCAGGTCTTTGTATAATTAAAGACAGGTCTTTAGATAGGCGTGTGTGCTCGCTATGATCTACGTTTCTCTTATGTGTGTTTT